TACTCAGCTCTTTCCAGATGAGAAACCTCACGAGCTCCATTCAGCCTCTCTGTGCTCAGCTCTGGGTTCACCTCAGGAATGCAGTAAGTCTCATACTGCCTCATGCCCAATCTTCCACTACCCTTGCCACCTTCTCTCTCCTCAACCATCCAGAATCAGCCTCAAGGTCCAGCCCCCTCCAAGACCCCGTTGACCTCCCCCTCACCTGCCCAGCCCAGTGGAGTCTAGCTACATTCCCAGTTCCCCTTTAGGCCATCCTCTTTGATGGCCAGAAAGAGGACAGGTGATGTGGAAGAGGCACAGAATGTATATCCCTGATGACTCTTGAGTGCTAGGCTGCAGGTGAGCATGGGCTGGTAAAAGCTAAGGGCAGCCATGACAGCTAGCCACAGCTCACTGCTCACACCAGCTCAGCACCCTGCAGACACAGGGGCCCCTCCTGGGGGCAGCTGTAGTCACCTGTTGTCGGCTGTGGTGACTCAGATGGGGGAGGTGTGAAGACAAGGCCTAGTGACTGAATCACCCTCCCTCAGGCCCTGTGCCCCCCTCCCCTTCTCCAAACATCTCTGCTTGACCTGGTTGAAGGGGACAGTAGGGACATCTCCCTGAAAAAACTGGGTGGCTAACACCAGGGCTAGAGAAAGATAGTAGCCTAGAGAAAGATGGCACCCTAGGTCTGAGCATGGGACTCTGAAATAAATGGGCTCTCATGGCAGCTCTGCAGGACCAGGTATGCCCTCTGTGGCAGAAAAGACAGTGAAGTCACTGAGGGATACTACTGGCCTACCCCAGCTCTAGCCCCCAGAGCCCCTCTCCCTGTGGCATCGTCAGCGTTCCTTAAAGAAGATATGCCCTCTGATGGGGTGGCCTGGGACTCTCCTAGAGAGTAAGGTGGGTAGGAGAAGGGCCTTTCCAGGAGAGAAGGCTGGGAGCAGCCATGGTTTTTCAAGTCTATACCTGCTGGGGTGCTGGGATCTCTTTCTGGCCAGAGGACTGTCCAGGCAGATGTATGTGTCTGTGGACTCTGAGCAGAGGGGTCAGCATTCGGGGTGACTCAGTAGATAGAACAGCGAGTCTCAGGCCAGAAATAGCTCCTGCTGAGAGCAGCCACCAGCATCACCGTGACGACGGGGTGTCATGGCCCCCATCGGTAGATGTCCTGCTGTGTCATGGACAAGCTGTGCACACCCTTTGCCGTCCCCAGCCCCCGAAGCCTGCAAAGTCATGCTCTATACGGTGGAGTGCTAAGAGCTTGAAGGCTTGTGCCAGAGGGGGTAGCTGGGGTACCAGGAGCAGGGGACTCAGCACCCTAACACCCTATGAGTCATCCCATCCCCATAGAAGTGGTCAGGAGTCCAGGAAGGTGCTTGGGTAACCTGGGAAGCAGAGAGAAGTTGGTGAGCATCAGGAGTTTGGGGCTCCAGTCCAGGGTATGGACTAAGTGTAGGGTGTGTGACAGCGGGGAGGGGTCGGAGGCCACGGTGTGAAGACAGAGCCGACAGCAGCCAGTCAAGGCCAGCCAGTCCAAGGACAAATGGGCAACCGATGTGTAATTGGGGCCATAGGGTCAGTTCTTGGTGTCCAAGAAAGTGACCTTGTGGTCCAGGCAAGGAGACCTGGGGGCTTGGAGGGAAGCTGAGGGCAACCCAGGTAAGCCAGTGCTATCGGGGAGATAGCTGGTTCTGTGACACTGGTGGCAACATGGGGCCAGGGGAGCTGGGCATGGCCTTCCCTTTCCACTTCTGCCCTAGGGGTCAGTGCCCACCTGTTGCCGAATTCTTTCTTCCAAGCATAGCAGCCCTTAACATCATCATCAGAGAAGCTGTGTCTACTTGTGTGTGACCTTTAAGATCGGAGCTGGTGACCGTTGGCCTTCCCTCATGGAAGGAGAGGATGGGAGGGCTCCACACTCCTCACCGGAAATCTCAGCTCGTCCTTCCTGTCCTTCCATGCCAGCTGCACGCCACCTGTCCCAGCTTCATGCAGTCTGGTGGCTCAGGAGATATCAGAGCCTATAGAATACCAGCGGTTTCCTCAGGGGTGGGGTGGCATGAGTTGTCTTCTGTGCGGGGGTGAGACAGTTCAGCGACACAGCTTCTGGGTTGAGGGTGTGCCCGGATGGCTGCAGGGGACCCCTCACAAAGCCCAACAGACTCACCGCTTCGCCCAGCGAGAACTGGGTGGAATCGTACGTTGGTCTGTTGTCGGTGCCCTATCTGGGGGTAAGAGGGTGCTTGTCCTCCTATCCCCCAGGAAATGTTGAAGCAACGTCACCACAGGGGTCCCATAGGTGCCCCTGGACAGCACAGCCCTAGAGAGAGTGCCTGCAGTTCCTCTTTCAACGTTAATCCATGGGCCCAAGTGGGCAGGGAGATTGCCTGTCGGTCTCCTTAGGTTGGACATGACCACTGCACATCAGAGCAGCTGTGCTCAGTCAACCCAAGACTCCTGAGATCCAGCTAATGGCTCACCCTCTTGGAGGGGAAGTCTCAGAGAGCCTCACAAAGCACTTCCCTCCTCATGAGGAGTTAGAAGTTGGCTGGGGCGGGAGTGGGGGCATCTTTAGTATTTTTGTGAGTCACCCAGGCTGCCGGTGAGACTCTGGTTGTGCAGTTTCTCATAAGCTGCCCACAAGATCTCCAGGTAATATAGCTGCCTTCGGGTCCCCATGGCTGGTCCCTTTCTTGAGTCTGAGAGGTGATGGGGCAGAAGGTTCCGAGGACACCGAGACATGAACACAATGCTCCTGCTTGCTGTGGTAGAGGACCGTCCAGGGTGGACACCAGCCCTCCTGCTTGCTGTGGTAGCTTGAATCCCTGCTATCTCCTCTCACTCTACCCGGAACCTGGAGGCAGAGGGGTCCTCTTGGAGCAAGCTGCAGGGACCTCCAGGGACAAAACAGCCGCTTGTGTCTGGATGGTCTCAAGGCAGCAGCGTCCTCCCTACCCTGTGGTCACCAGCTTCGCCTGAAGAAATGAGACCCTGGGGACAAGTCTCACCTGCCATGGCCCAGGTGGCTGAGGCCACAGAGTGGGGAGGGATTATCTCCTAGCTATTTGAGGTGTGAGCATGAGGGGTCCGGGGCCCTCCTCGCCTGGCTTTTTCCAGTTATAAGACCGTAGGACCCACCCCCCAGTGGGACGTTTACACACGTGACCTGCTTAAAAGAGCACCCAGCTGCCCCAAGCCAGTACCCCACCTCAACACTAGTCTGTCACTCTTGGGAAGTCAGGAGAGGCCAGCCCCACAGAATGGCCTCTGTGGGAGGTGATAATGGAGTATGAGGAAGGCTGGCCCAGGGAGTTGATAGCTTGATCTTCTTCCTGGATCCAATCCCCTGGGAGAGGCCTGGGATGTGTGTGGGGGGGGAGTAGCTGCTGAGGATGGGGAGGGAGGGGAAGAAGTTATTCAGTGTGTGTGAGTGGCCACCAACCACTGCCGCAGGAAAACGCCTAGCCACTGTCCCCCAGGCTGGCACTTCTAGCCAGGCCATGGAAACAGGACCTGGGACAGAACTCACCATACCACCCCAAGGCAAGAAGTGGGGGCGGGGTGGGGTTCTGTGGCTGCCACCACCACAGCCCCGCTCAGAAGCCCCTGGGCAGCTTGAGTGCCCTGCAGCCTCTGCTCCTATCACCCTACCTGTAAGGCATCAGGGCACAGGGCCCACGGGTGTCATGGGTCCCTGAACCCATGAGCTCCCCTGCTTGCTGGCAGCACGCAGGCCACATTTTTAATGGCACCCCAAATAGCGCGAGCAGCTTTCTGGCTGTCGCTGTGGTGACCAACAACTATGACAAGTGGCACGGTTTCCTTGGGGACGAGAGATGACGTGTCCTCTGCAGTGTGCCCTGGTGGGAGGACCCAACGCTTCTCCCACCTCTGACTTGCAGGGGCTGAAGGGAAAGGACAAAGGCTTTGGAAGCGAATGCCAGGCCTGGGGTTGGGTGGCAGGTTGGTGCCAGTGGCAGGGTCACAGGCTGAGCTTTCTGTCTGAACTGGGCCCCTCTCTCAGGGACCATGCACCTCCTCAGGAAGCCCTCCCTGATAAGGCCCCGTGGCACACAGACACTTCATCCTCTCGGAGGCCACCAAGGACAATGTGTTCAGAGAGATGAGGAGCCTCCAGAGTGGGAGAACTCACTGACCCCATCAGCCCACTATGGCACCCTGCCCTGGACCAGGACTAGTGCCATGGTCTGTACTGTGAAATCCAGGCCACCACCTCCAGGAAGCCCTGCCTGTCCTCAACTGCCTCCGCACAGCTGTCCCACGTCCTGCTCTGGGCTTGGATTTCCAGGAACACTCTCAGTGTCTGCAAAACCTCCCCTGCAGAGGTTGGTCTGCCGTGAGCTGGAGGACATGTGGCAATTTCCCCTGGCGCAGGTATCACCAGATGTGGGGATCAGGGGCCAGAATGGGGTCAGGTGTCTGTGTGTGGGTAGCCTGTGGCGGCGGCACGTGACTCTCCTCCCCTCTCCCTTACAGTCCAGAACAAGAAACGAAACAACACCCCCTGCCCACCCATAGTCACAGAGCGTGCCTCCCCCTCCCCCCACCAGCTCCATTCTGGGGAGCATGGGGTAGCGGGCGGTGCTGGTTTGTGGGTGAGACATTGAGTGTGACTGGGGGGGGGGGTTCTGCCTGAATAATTGCTCTGAGGAGGGCTAATAGCAAAGGAGGGCCATCGTGTGCTACAAATGGCCTGATCACAAGGACATGAGCTGAGCCTCAGGCTGGGGGTGGGGGGTTAAGGGGGAGTCATGCAATATCCATAGCAGGCTAGGTGGGGCTATGGGGGCGGGTACCTGGCCTCCTCTGGATAGATGATTTCCCCTGGGGTGTGGAGGATGACAGGCTCGTCATGGACATAGCCTGGCTGTACAGGAGTTGTGAAGCGCCCGCCCAGATGGACAGCCATCTGCCTCTTCACGCCACACCACGCTCTGGGTGGAAAGCTAAGGTGCTCTTTATTTGAAGGAGACAGTGAGATCGGGGGGGGGGGGGCATCCCCAGTCACTGGTAGCCAGCCAGCTGGAGGACACTGGGGTAGTGGCTGCGGTGAGCCATACACTTTTGGCGGTCGATAAAGAGGCTGTTGGCCTTGACGGCAAGGTCCTTCTCCAGGTTCATGCGTGTGTCCTCCAGGTTCCGCAGCGCCTGCTCCGAATCCAGGAGCTTCTCCTTCAGTGCACTGAGGGACATGTTCAGCTCCTCCACCTCGCTCAGCAACCTGCAGGGGAGGGAATGGTGAGCTAGGAGAGAGACAAGGGAAGGGACAGTGACGCTACAGGGGACTCCCCAGAAGCTTATAGGAGGCCCACCAAAGTGGCTACAGTGCTGCAAAAATCCCTGGGAACCAAGCATGAACCAAGAAGGGCCCTCAATTCCAGCCTGAAGCCGTCCCCCAACCCCCACGACAACTGCGACAGAGCAGGGAGAAGGAGTCTTGAAACACTGCCCCCTTGTGGCAAAAATAAACAATGGGCCGCTAACTCTGATGTTCCCAGGAACGAAGAACCATCCTTGAAACCTTGATTTCTATAACAAAATTACATTCAAGGAAGGAGGAAGAAGATAGGCACTATATCTTAGAAGGGCATCCTGGAACTGGCTAGATCAGGAAAATAAAAGGTATAATCTACCATGCCTGTAGGTGGTATAGAACACAGGATTACAACAGAGGTGCTGGGGCCGGTGGTGACCCTGCCTGGCCTCTCTGCCTTGCAGGCCTCAAGAATCTAGGTTATCAGACTCTAGGCTCCTTCCAGGAAGGTAAGGAATCTCAGAGTGACACGAGTGTCTGCTCATATGTGGGACTGATCCTGTGTGTGTTGGGCTCATGATAGCCTCAAGGGCTGGGGAAGAGGAAGATTAAAGGGGCTGGAGGATGAGCCCAGCCACACAGGACTGCTCCAGCAAGCCAGTGGTACCTAAACTGTGCCCTGTCCCGGCACAACTCCACATTGGGCCGGTATGACCGCTGGTAGAGGCGGGTCTGGGCCACACGCAGAGGGGCCTCCTTGTTCTTGATGGCCTGCTTCAAGGCTCCCACCTGGTACTCCTGGTCCGTGATCTCCCTCAGCGTCTGTACAGGGAAATGTGTAAGCTTAAGGTAGACTCAAGCCTGGAGCAAATGGGGCACCTACCCCAACCCAGCGTGTGGGAAGGGACAAACCAGTGGCTCTCTCATCTCCCAGCCCTCACTGGAGCCGCTAACTTCTGGGCCTGTGTCCAGGGCCAGCCCTGCAGAAGGCCCTCAGTGGGTCCCATGCATCAGGGTAGTCTGTTTGTCTTCCAACACTGGCCAAAAAAGTCAGGTCTTGGAGGCAGCACAGGCCACACGAGAGCCTAGGAGCAGGACCCCACAAGCACACTGTGACCCCACACCACCTCCCTCCCAACCCCCACAGCTCGCAGCTCCTGCTGGTCAGCCTCCTGCAGTGGCTGTGCCAGCAGAAAACTGCTTTTACATCAGCTCGGGAAGTCTGCAGAAGTGTGTGGGGGTCTGCTTCTGGGTGAGCTGGTCACAGAAGGGCCCTTGAAACCAAGTCGTGACTGAGCAGAGAGCAACCCTGGTCTCCGTAACCCTGATCCCTGTGGTTAAGAGAACTCAAGCCCGAGGTGAGGAATGGGTGTGGCTTGAGTGGGGTAGGGGGAGGTGGGCGCTGGGGGCGGCCAGCGCAGATGTGAGTGGGCGTGCCCTAAGCACGGGATGGGCTTGCTGGCAGGGTGTCTTGGGTGTGCTTAGACAGGCGGGCGTGCCCAAAGGCGGGCGTGGCCCGCGGTCCCACCTTTCGCAGCTGGTACTGCAGTTTCTGGTATGTGTCATCCAGCTCTTCGCAGCGCTGCGAGAAAGCCGTGTTCACTGCGTCGCACTGAAGCCTCAGGTCCTCGGCCGTATCCCGCAGGACGCAGTCAATTAACTTCCGCAGGTTAACCGAGGCTACCCGCTCGCGCTCAGCTCGAATCAGGGTGTCCTGAGTGCACTTGGCCCATGACTCGGGCGTGGAGGCACTGAGGGTGGAGTTTGAGGCCTAGTCAGGGGGTAGCCACGCAGAGGCTCTGGCACTGTTGGCGATCCGCAGTGAAACCCGTCCCTCCCCCCTCCACATCCTGAGGTTCTCCTGGGCCTTCAGTGGCGGCTGCTTGCCCTCTGCTGGCCGGGAGCAGAAACGCAATCCAGGCCACCCATAGGCTTGTATGCACCCTGTATGGATTGTGGGTGCGAGGCACTTGAGTAAGGGGCTTCCCGTTAGTCTACCTCAGCAGCAGACAGAACTTCCCCACAGCTGGGCCGAGTCCAAGAGGGTGGGTGAGGGGAGCAAACGGGGTGTGGTGCCTAGGAGCCTACCTCTCCTCGAACTTGGCGGAGTGCGGATGGAACTGCACCTGGGTGCTCTGGTTGCAGTAGCGGGAGCAGGTCTCGTCAATGTTGTAGGTCTCTACTTTGTCTGACCAGCTTATCTCACAGGTCTCCTTTTGTTCCCGGTTCAGCCTAGTGTGGGAGGGAGGTCCAGGGCCCACTGCGCCAGGGAGCACTGGGAAGCAGGCCCCGTTCCAGCTTCAGGTACCTGCAGTCTGTGCTCAGGCGGCCTTCCGTGGCCAGCAGCACCCAGGTTCCAGAACAAAAGTGGAGATGATTGTGTGTGCCTAGCGGAGGAATGCCTGCGTTCCTGTCGGGGTCAGGGCCCTAGCTGTCCCAGCTCCAACCAGTCTTGGGGGCTCAGGGCTGTCCATCCCTCAAGTCCCTCAGGGGCTGCTGTGACCCACCGTATCTGGCCCACAGCTTGTGCCATAGTCCTCTTCAGGAGTTCCTGGATGTTCTTGATGAGCTCCGTTTCCTGGAGATAAGACAGGCCTATCTGAGACATAGCCCTGCCCTTTCCCTCAGGAGGGACTGAGGGACCCAGCAGGAGCCAAGGCACGGGCTTCCCCTCCATTGACTTCTGCCTTAATTTTTTTTTTCCAGAAAAAGGGGTATGAGTCCAGACCTTGCATGCTAGGTTCATTCTGTGTGGTTTTGGCATGTTGTAAATGTTTCCTTTAGGGGTGTCTTTGGGCTGTTGGGTCACCCATGACACTTGCCCAGGCGGGAGTTATCCTCAACACTCATAGATACTGAGGGACTTCAGCCTTATCTCAGACCCTAGACCACCTCTGAGGACACCAAGCCCATAAGAAAGATACCCTCTGTCCGCTCTCCACTGCCCACCAAGAATAGGTAGGAAACTCTAGGTTTCTTTTTACCCAGCATTTTTCTGGGTATCAGGAATTCTTTAATGGGCAAGTGCATGATTCCATGTGGTAAAAATCCTCCTGTGTCTGAAAGACCAGGGGTCCTGCTAGGCAGAGGGCTCTCGCCCTGTGTGGACCCCGAGGCCCTGTGTTGGATGAGGGCCAGAGCCTGCCTCCCACCCTGGACCTGGGTCACCTCACCACACCTTCAGCAGCTCCACCTCCACGTAGTCCCGGACGAGATCTGGCTGCTGGCGGCGTTCTCGGCACTGCAGGTTGTCGGTGGCGATGGAGAAGGGCACGGACGTGGCGTCCAAGGCGCGCTGCAGCCGCAGCTTCTGGGCCAGCAGCAGGTCCGTCTCGCCGGACAGTTCATCTATCTCCCGCTGCAGTTCCGACTTCCAGCAGTGCATGTCCTCCAGGCGCTCCCCCACCTTCCGGGTGGAGTCCTGCTGCGTTCGCTGAGCCAGCGCCTCCGTCTCCGCGGCCAGCTGCCTGCTCTCATGCCGCTGCCGCTCCGAGTAGTCCCGGTCCGCGAAGGCCTGGTGGTAGCGGGCGTAACTGTTCTGATACCACTCGTCCATCAGGTATTTGGCTGTGCGGAAGCCAGCGGTGACCATGCCGGAGGATGTGTCGGCACCGGTGTTGCAAGCCACGTCATACAGTTTTTTCGGCAGGTCACAGGCCTCTATTGACTGTGGGGCTGGCTCCTTGGTCAAGACTGTGTCTGTCTGTGCCATGGTGTTCACTGCCCGGCCGAGCAGGACGGGGTGGGGGGGATCAAAATGAAAAGAGGATCACGGGGCAGTCGTCCAGGCACGATCAGTGTGGCAGTACTGGTCACTCTATCCTGAGCAGGGCTCCTGGCTGCCTCAGGTATAATGTATACAGCAACTGCCTCCTGTTGCTGGGCAACGGGGCCACTCAAGAGGAGGGACAGAACTGCCCTCTTAAAGGCCCCCCCCCCCCCGCAGTGGCTGGGGAGGTAATGTAAATGGATAAAAGTGTTTGCTGTGCAAGAACCTGAGTTCGAGTCTCAGGACACAGGTGAGGACGATGGGCGTGGTGACACACGCTTGTAATCGCAATCCCGGCACTAGGAAGGCAGAGATGGTTAACCTATGGAGTTCGCTGGCCAGCCGGCCCTACCACATTTAATGTGTTCCAGGCCAGCGAAAGACCTCAAAAAATAAGATTGGCCAGGACTGGTGGCAAATACTTTTAATCCCAGCACTCGGGAGGCAGAGACAAGTAGGGCTCTCTGATTTCAAGGACAGCCTGGTCTACAATAGTGAGTTCCAGTCTGGTCAGGGCTACATAGCCAGACCCCTGACTCAGACAAAACAAAACTCCCAAACCAAATAACACAAAAACCAAGATAGATGGTGCCTGAGAAAGGTCACCTAAGGCTGTCTCTTGGCCTCCATATGCACACAAACCCCCACATGCTCGTATGCACTCATATGCTTTCACATACACACAAAGGGGGTCAGGCAATCTTCAAGTCGCCTCTCTTCGCCCCTCTGTGGCCCAAGAGGCTCAGGACTCGTATACACTAGAGGATCTTTGAACTATAGGGCTGGGGTAGTGAAAGGTCCTGAAGTCCCTGACACCCTGTCCCTCCTTCCTGGCTCCTCCGTCCTTTTGTCCTGAGATTGCCCCTCCCCCACCCCCATGCCTGGTTCTGAGGTTTGGCTTTACTCTGCTGGAGCGGGGCGGAAGAGGCTCTGCCTGCCTAAAGACATTTAGGGGTGAATAAGCTGCGGGAGGTGGGAAGGGCAGTGGCTCCCCTTCCTGTACTTTCACCCTCCCACAGCTCGACTCCATTGCTCATGTGTTCTGAACCCCTCATGCAGGCCCAGAAGACCAGACATCCACCCTACCTCAGTCTCCAGAACTCACTTTGGGAGGTGAACCCCTGGGAGTGTCTACAGGGACCCTGAACTTACCTGCATCCAGGGCCTCCCTCTGTCGAAGGGCCAGGCCCTCCTCTATCCCTGCAGCCCATAGCTGGACCACCCAGAGCATCCTGGGGATGTGGAGCAGTGTTCTGAAGGGGGTTCATCCACTGGGTGTATCTGGAGTCCTGATCTGCTCAAGTAAAAGGAGACAAGTTCTGTCTGGGCAGTTGTTCCCAGTGAGCTAGTTGGACAGGAAACTGCCATCCAACCTGGGCATGGGAAACCCTAGTCTAAGTCAGTATTCAATGTGACCAACAGAGGGAGACATTGACTGCAAAATGTGCCAGCCACCTATTTCCGGACTATTCCGGCCTTCCCTTCCACCTGGCCTTTCCCAGAGGCACCCACATACTGGGTCCTCTCTGAAAGAAATCCACATCCTTAGCCAGCATAAGTTCTACAACCACAGCCCCTCAGCCTCTTCCCTCGCCATTGCCCTGTCCCGTTTCCAGCCTCAGGCTTTCTCTACTTGACACACAAGCTCAGTTTCACGCCACCTCCCGCCCCCTGGCTTCTGCCCAGGCTGTGCATTCCTGGCACCCTCCCTGGTGCTGAGCCATAGCAATTAGCCCCTCTCTACGTGCTGTCAATCTTCTCATAGTGGGCCCTGGCATTTCCACCAGAATGGACAAAGTAGAAGCTTCCTACATGTGTGTTTTGTGGGCAGAAGCCCCAAGGATTCATAACCAGACCAAGCAAGATTTGCTCTTGTTCTTCAAGAGCTGGAGGCCAAGAGCCTTTGGGGGCCAATGTGGACCTCTCGCTGGCTCCTTTGTGCCTCAGTTTCCCCAGATGGTAGCAGGTGGAGAGCCTCCTAGAACACAACCGTGGCTTCTCCTTAGAATCATCCCTGATATGTTGACCGAGGGACTGCAGAGGAGGAAACCTAGCCTGGGCTCAATGACTCTAAATGATCTTCAGCTTCAGTATTCGAGTAGTGGGGTACAGCAGGTAGGTGATGCTCCCATGAAACCCCCAAGTTAAAGGAAGGCCAGGTCTCAGTGTAGTTTCCCCTGTGTCAGGACAGGCTACAAGGTAGAGCTTGGACCTTAGTCCCCAGATTGAGGGGTCAAGACTTGCCAGACATCTGCAGGGTTGGACTGAGCCTTTGCCCCTGTCAACCACAGCCTCTAGAGTAACCCCCTCAGTCCAGAGAAAGGCTGTGAAGGTTCAGTGTGTAACCTCTCCCAGCCTCCCCACCCCACCCCTTGGGGGAAGAACACCAGTTATTGCGCAAGACTTCCATAAGGGCTGACAAAGCAGTCACAACTATACTCAAAGTGAGGGCTAAGTGGGGAACAGGCAGACAGAGCCACAGTGGGGCACAGCCAAATTGAATGGGTTGTTTGGAGACAATGGTGGCGGACCCCGGAACTGTACTGAGTGGGGGCACGGGGTCCTCTCCGGTTGGACTTCTTTTTGTGTTGCAGTTGCAATGAGAAAATTGAGTCTGGGGACATGGGAAAGTTCCCTCATTCTCTTCCTCAGCAGAGTTAGGGACCTTGATGAAGCTAAGAGTGCCAGCTCCACGGACACTCTGCCTGTGTCCCCAACGACCAGGTCCCTCCACGCAGGACAGCCCTGCAGGATGCCTAGGAAATAGAGGGACAGTTCTGTGACTTCACGACTGACCGAGAGCACAATCTGTGCTGATTTCTTTACAAGCTCTAGACACCGTAAGTGGGATGGACATGGACGAAAGGGTTCTTTTCTATGGAGTCTGACCAGCAGGCCCCAAGTCCAGAGGACCTTCCCCCAGCTCTATCCTCAGCCTGCGAGGTTCTAAACAAGAAGGAAGCCGTACAGCCTCATAACCTTCACCCATGAGAAGCACATCCTTGCGGGTCCCAGGCTGAGGTGGGCCCAAGGTCAGACTGACAAGATAGGGCCAGCAAAGGAGAGACCGCCATCTGGCCACCTCCAACCCTGGCCAGCATCCCCAGGCATGACAGCCATCCTGGTGGGAGCAGACCCAGCTGCAGGAGCAGTGGGAGGCAAAACCACGCCTCTCCCCCTGGCTAGTGGGACTTTCTAATTTACAGAAGGATCCAAAGCTCTTTGGCATCCCTGAGCCAGTGCTGCAGTGGGCAGATGTCTGTGCTGCGCAGGCAACACGCAAGCAGGGGGAGGCAGCCAGGGACTTCCGGGAAGAAGAATCCTGGTGTCCAAGCTTCAAAGGGCCTCCCGAACGAAGGCAGGAAAGAGCTGTGCAGGATACTGGGTGGGGAGTGTGCCCTCCCCTGATGACTCCCAGGATCACTATGAAAGCCCTGCTTCCCTTCAGAGGATTAGACAAAACAAGGTGATGTCGCACGGATAGCATGCTGGCACAGGGCTGAGCCCAGTATTCTGGCCATCAACTGCAGTAGCCACTGGGCTTGAGTCTCTCCACTTGGCAAGGTAGGACCAGCAGGCCGAACTAATGAACTAATGACTCATCCCTACTTGACTCTCACCTGTTTCCCCAAGCAATGAATGCCCAGGTGGCGGGGACAGGGGGGGAAGGCATACCCATGGACTCTTCCCTGCCTACTTCTTTCCTAGAGAGGCAAGACTCAGACAGGGATCCCTGAGGTGAAGGCGGTTAGCTGTGTGTGGCTGTCCAGACATCTGTGTCCACCTCAAGGAACCTGGCACTCAGAATGTCCCCACCTCATGGAAGCACTTTGCTTGAGCAGCTTCTCAGCCATAGCACCAAGGCTGAGTGAAAACTCTTGCCTAGAATTCCAGCTACTGGGAAAGATAAGGCAGGAAGATCACAAGTTCAACTCTAGCCTGGGCAACTTAGGAAAACTTTGGCTCAACATGAAAACTAAAATTAATTAATTAATTAATTAATTAAAATTAAAAGGCTGGAATGTAGGTAGCAGAGCAGTTGTCCAGAAGAGACAAAGAGCTGAGTTCTGTCTCTGGTACCACCAAAACAAACACAAAACCCTAATAAAAGAAAACAATGAAATAAAACACAACTTGGGCAAGAGGCTTTGAGTTACTTCTTTCCACACCTTAAAAATAATAACCTAAACAGCTACCAACACACTCGCCAAGTGGAGAAAACATCAAAACGTGGAAACCCCATACAGACAAGCTAGAGAGAACCCACAACGCCTTTCATGAGCATCTCAGCAGGCCATTCAGCTCTTCAGGAAAGATGCACAGGTACCTCCCAGCCATTGAGCAATGCTCAGCTTTGAAATCCAGCCACAGGAAATGACTTCAAATCAAGGAAGGAGGTTCAAAAAGGACAAGGAACAAGCATTTGCAGCAAGCTTTGTCCCAGCAACACATCATCAGGAGGGAAAAAAAAAAAAAAAAAAAAAAAAAAAAGCAGGACCTGTACCTAACAGGAAGGCAAACAGAGCCACAGCAAGGATTCCTCTCCAAGGATAGGCTGTCTGGGATCAGAGACACACATTAGAAACATTCAGAGACACATATCTGGTGACAGGCAGGCAGGGAACAGGGCAGGGGCACAGGCAACTACTTATCAGGATGTCATAGACAAAGCAGCCAGGGACAGGAGGGCCACAGTCAAAGTTGACACCCAGGAGAATCTGAGGTTTCAAATACCAAGCCAACAGGAGGCCTGGCCTGGCATCAGCCATGGGAGCTGGGCAGAGACTGGCCAGCCAGGAAAGACACTACCATCCTGAATAGGAAGAGGTGGTTCCAGAGAGGACCTGCCCTGGTTTCCATCAGAAATGGGCCTTTGGGTTCCCTGTAGGACAGTGAAGATTCCTGGGGACAGTTTCACCCTGGCTGGCTCCAACTGCCCATTGAACCATGAGGAGCCTATGAAATGTATAGAAGCCTAGATATGACAGGGCTGGGGGACCA